GCTCATTTGTTTTGTTTCTTAGATTCTACATGTGAGTGAAATCATATGGTATTTGTTTTTCTCTGACTGACTTATATCACTTAACATAATACTCTAGCTCCATCCATGTCATTGCAGATGGTAAGATTTCATTCTTTTTGATGGTTGGGTAATATTCCTGTGTGTGTGTGTGTGTGTGTGTGTGTGTATCACATCTTCTTTATCCATTCATCAGTCAGTGGATGCTTGGGCTGGTTCCATAATTTGACTCTTGTAGATAATGCTGCTGTAAGCATCAGGATGCTGTATCCCTTTGAATTAGCATTTTTGCATTCTTTGGGTAAATACTTATAGAGCAATTGCTGGATCATAGGGTAATTCTGTTTTTAACTTTCTGAGAAACCTCCATACTGTTTTCCAGAGTAGCCGCACCAGTTTGCATTCCCACCAACAGTGCAAGAGGGTTCCCCTTTCTCCACATCCTTGCCAACACCTATTGTTTCTTGTGTTGTTGATTTTAGCCATTCTGACAGGTGTGAGGTGATATCTCATTGTAGTTTGATTTGTATTTCCCTGACAATGAGTGGTGTTGGACATCTTTTCATGTGTCTGTTGGCCATCTATTCCATCTTTGGAAAAATGTCTGTTCATGTCTTCTGCCCATTTTTATTTGGATTATTTGGTTTTTGGGTGTTGAACTTTATAAATTTTTTGTATATTCTGGATACTAACCTTTTATCAGATATGTCATTTGCAAATATCTTCTCCCATTCCATAGGTTGTCTTTTAGTTTTACTGATTGTTTCCTTCACTGTGCAGAGCTTTTTATTTTGATGAAGTCCCAACAATTTATTTTTGCCTTTGTTTCCCTTGCTTTAGGAGACATATCTAGTAAGAAGTTGCTACCGCTAATGTCAAAGAGGTTACTACCCGTGTTCTCCTCTAGGATTTTAATGGTTTCCTGTCTCATATTTAGGTCTTTCATCCATTTTGAATTTATTTTTGTATATGGTGTAAGAAAGTGGTCCAGTTTCATTCTTTTTCATGGTGCTGTTCAGTTTTCCCCAGCACCATTTTTTGAAGAGATTTTTTCCCATTGGATATTCTTTCCTGCTTAGTCAAAGATTAATTGACCATATGTTGTGGGTTCAATTCTGGGTTTTCTGTTCTGTTTTATTGATCCCTGTGTCTATTTTTGTGCCAGTCCCATACTGTTTTGATCACTACAGCTTTGTAATATAACTTGAAGTCCAGAATTATGATGCTTCCCGCTTTGCTTTTCTTTTTCAAAGTTGGTTTGGCTATTCAGGGTCTTTTGTGATTTCATGCAAATTTTAGGATTGATTTTTAAAAAAATATTTATTCATTTATTTAGTTGAGAGAAAGAGAGAGCACGAGAGGAGGAAGGGTCAGAGGGAGAAGCAGATTCCCCGCTGAGCAGGGAGCCTGATGTGAGACTCGATCCTGGGACTCCAGGATCATGACCTGAGCCGAAGGCAGTCACTCAACCAACTGAGCCCCCAGGCGCCCTCAGATTGCTTGTTTAAGCTCTGTGAAAAATGCTGTTGTTATTTTTATAGGGATTGCATTAAATGTGTAGATTGCTTTGGGTAGTATAGCCATTTTCTTCAGACTTGGAAAAGCTGAAAATTTATTATGATAAATAATAGCTTTGGTACCTTGTGGCTATTACAAATATTAATGTTAAAAATTGTGCCTGTGACAAATGAAAAACTATGTAGCCAGGGAAACACCTGTGATGGCATTGCCTATGATGACATTGTTGGGTTAGTTTCCTTTAATAGATTAATATTTCTTAGTATTGACTAATCATTAAAATGCTTTCACATAAATGTTCTTTTTTAAAAATTTTCCTTCTATTTTCTGGATTTAGGTTCTTTTTTAAAAATTAACATATCATGTATTATTTGTTTCAGGGGTACAGGTCTGTGATTCATCAGTACACATAATACCCAGTGCTCATTACAACACATACCCTTCCCAGTGTCCATCACCCAGTTACCTCATCCCTGCACCCCCCTTCCCTTCAGCAACCCTCAGTTTGTTTCCTATGATTAAGAGTCTCTTACGGGTAGTATAGACATTTTAGCAATATTTGTTCTTCCAATCCGTGAGTATGGTGACGTGGGAGATAAAGGAGAGAAGTTTGGGCATGACGTTCGAAAAGGCAAGAAGAGATAGAGTGTGGGGGGCTTGGCCTCGTGTAGGAACAGTCAGTTAATTCTTTATAATGGGGGGAAGGCAGGGAGCCTTACATTGTTACATTGTTCACATTATATTTTTGTTGTGGATTTGTTTGTTTTCCACATACTATGAACCTTTTAAGAGTAGTAGGTGTGAATGTCGTGTTCATTTTGCGGTAGGAGTTTGTATGTTCCATTTCTCTTCCTTATGCAACGCCTGGCACACAAGAGGCACACGACACAAGTTGGAATGGAGCAAATGCAGTCACTGTGCTGAGCCTGCGTATGTTTTATCTTCTCATTCAGATTGGATTATTTCCATCCAATGTTGACAACCAGATTGATTTAACTGTGTTTCTCTTGTCTGCGCCTACAGATAGGTTGACCAACTGGTAGAGCTGATTGACAGGAATGGCTGTGTTTCTACCAAAATCAATGATGCTTTGTAGAAATAAGATCAGCGACCTTTTGATGCCTCATTTTGCAGTGGTCCTGGTTATAGTTTCAACATGAACTTACTATTTACTTTACCTCTGAGCCTCCTGAAAGCTATCCATTCTTCCTCAGAATACATTTGTTATTTTAGTTTACCATTCATATGGCATATATCATTATCTGTTATTATCTAACCTGCCGAGTGCATGGGAAACTCTTTGAGAATGGGGACTACACCTTCATTGTGTTTTTCCTCAAAATCCTTTGTACAATCTCTGGTTAGAAAACATGTCTTCATCACTAAATTAAAAATCCCTAGTCCAGGACCTGGTACAAGTTAGATGCCAAATAAATATTTGTTGAATGACTACATGAGTGAATGATTATTGTCTGTGGTGTTTATTGATGATGCACAGACCAGATCTCCTTTCCTGTTTGATGTGCCTATCCCCCAGCTTTTCATTGCTTTGCTCCTCGTAGCTCACACCTAAAATCTTTTCCAAGGGACTATCCTTGGGCCACTGGAGCTGGCATCACGTAGATGCTCCAAGAACAAGAAGTCCTTGGGATTTTATGCCTTCCCCTTGGTAACCAGTATCCAATGGCTGAGATGCAAGAATATGGAGGTCTAGCTGTCATGCCTCAGTGCAGTGCAGGCTTCCAAGTGCAGTTTATACTCTAGAGCTCCCTGTGGGATCAGGCTAAGGCCAGGACTTTGCCTGAAATTGCATGCACCCTTGCTTGGCTTCTGTCTTGCTTGCCTTGCTCTTTTGTAGGTTTCTCCTAAGAACACTTTCTTAGTGAATCACTTGCACGCTCACCCTTTCCTTAGGGTTTGCTTCTTGGGAACTTTATTTAAGACAGTGCATGTTTATAATCAGGTAATGTTAGGGTCAGGAATCATATCCACACTCTCTCTAAGAATGTTAAGTTCTGCTGTTGCAGTTGGTAGCTCCTGATAGTTTTTGGATTTATATTACTGCCAACTAAAACTGTAAGTGACTGTGAACTAAATTTGGTATTTGATTTGGTTGTTGGGTAAGAAGTAGCTTCACTATTTCAGTAAATAATTGTTATTGAATTTAGTAAATATCTATTGAATTACAGGTCTTTCTAACATCAAGTCAATGCATTTTTCTTAACTTTCTACTCTTTTTATTTATATACATCTCTGCTCTCTCTCCTTAAGCAAGGATAACAGAATTAATTGTATAATCAATTTTTATATGATTGAGTACAGCTTTCTTTTGTCTTCCTGTTGAATATAAATATCCATTTCCACATACTGAGTAAACCATTTATTTTATTTTTTTAGTGATTTGAAAAGAACACAAACTCCTTTATCTGTAAAATGGGATTGGAAGTAATGCATTTTAGAACTTAAAAGCACTTCAGTCAACACCTTCATTTTATAAGTGAGAACATTTGAAGCCCAAAGAGGTTAAGTAATTTGTTTAATATCACCCAGCTTGCTTAGTGGCAGAGCAGGACTAATGCCCAACTCCCAGGCTGCTGTGTTCTCTATTGCTCTACAAAATGCATATTTCTTATTTACAGAATTAATATGAGGATTAGGGGCCACATCCGTGAAAAATAGGTTTAGCCTTTGGAAAGAAAGATGCTGGATAGCTTTATGAAATCTTTATGAAAACTAATCTCATTTTAACCTTTTCTGTACAATTGTTAGTTTTGTTCAGTTTGTGTTATTTGCCTCAGGCTTCTTTTTGTCCAAGGACTAGATAATATACAATGCTTGATTTAAAAATCAATATTAAGTATCCAAATTGTGTTAGAAATATGAAATACTTCTGCTGGTTTTGAAGCTGGGAGCAGTTGTAGACAGTCTTCCAGAGTGGCAATCACTTATGTACATGAAAAATTGCTCTTCTTACTTTGCATATTGGGAATAAGGACAGTTGGTTCCAAAGAAAAGAAGGAAGCATAAATTATATTTTGTTCAGCCTGGTAATACTTCCAAAGCTTGATGCAATGTATCTTTAACAAACCGTGAATTTTCTCTCCTGCGGAGCCACCATATCCTGCCTACTTACATCATAGTCAGGGCACCATTATACTAATCCACCGTACCTTCATATCTCTAGCAAGCACAGTTAAGTGATAACTTGAATATTTATTTTGATGCAAAGTGTATAAATCTTCTCTATGTCATCTTGTAAAGCGAGGAAATTGTGACTCGCTCAACTTGGTTACTTTAATTGTTCAAGTTTGGTTCTTTTAGCCACAGCGTGCTTTGATATATGACTAAGAATACTGTTTAATTTTTGTAGTATTCACAGTGATTTGTGTAGATTCATATAGGCAGAGAAGATAAAATTTGAATACCAAAAGGCTAAAGTAACTTTCATATATATTTTTAATTAGGTACGATTATATGCAAGACCCGATGCTATCAGAAGAGGATCTGGGGACTATGCTCTCCATATAACAAAGAGATTAATAGAATTTTATGAAGACTACTTTAAAGTGCCCTATTCATTGCCAAAACTAGGTAAGTATTTTCTTGGTTATTTTAATGGAAGGGATCCTTGAAGGTAGAAATTTGTCTTCATGCATTTATTTGAGACATGAAAATTCCAAGAATTATATTTTTAGAGAAGATGAGCATGAAAAATAATTTCTTCTGAAGAGGTAAAATAAAACTTACTGTTTCTTAAATCTTGCCAAGAATTCCTCATAGGAATTAAGAAGGGCATTATGTAAGTTTAGGTTTCCAAAAGATAACTCAAGTAGATATAATCATTGAATATGTGCTATGGAGGGGTGCTTGCCAACATCTCATTTAATCCTCAGAAGTACTAGATGGGTAGGTACTGTTAGAACATTTGCCACTCACGGGACTTGACATCCAGGGAATCTGTTTTTCATTCAGACAGCTAGTAAGTGGTGAGCTGGGATTTCAAGCTAAGTCTTGATGACTCCCAGAACTCTTCTGTGTTTTACACTGAGAAGACACTCGTTGATTATTTTCTCTGTCCTAATTCTCAGATCTTGGACCACAATGTATTAGTTATCCCTCACATTATTTTTGTCCAGTCATATTTCAGTACAGTTGTAGCAAGTAGAATAAAAACAAAGCAGAAGGGAAATTGTATAAGGGAGATTACGTTCACCATGAATACTCTGATGTTTCTTCCTTTTACAAATACGATATGTTCAATAGTTGCTTGTTGATTGAATAAATGAATTTTATGATCCTAATTTGAGTGAAGCTCCCACTTTTGCAGGGGAGTGAACTATGACTTTCCAGGAAGTTAAAAAGGGTACATGTACCCATTAGAAATGCTGAAGTTATTTTTCCTTCTTGGAAAACCTGTTTTGAAATATTACATCATGGCAGTCTTTTGTTCCTCACCCACCACCTTTTTTCCTTCCCAAGAACATTTTTGATCAGCATAAAAGTGATTGTTTTGATCCACATAAAAGTGATTGTTCATTGGCAAGAATAAAGTGCTACCCGATCAAAAGTGTTGGTATTATTTGGGTGCCTGGGTGGCTCAGTTGGTTAAGCGACTGCCTTCGGCTCAGGTCATGATCCTGGAGTCCCTGGATCGAGTCCCGCATCGGGCTCCCTGCTCGGCAGGGAGCCTGCTTCTGCCTCTGACCCTCCCCCCTCTCATGTGCTCTCTCTCTCTCATTCTCTCTGTCTCAAATAAATAAATAAAATCTTTAAAAAAAAAAAAGTGTTGGTATTTGAACCACAGGTTCCTCTCTCTGGAGAACTGGGCCTATTTTATTAAAGTAATCACCGGCTGTGTAGCTTTATTGGTCTTACAATGAGTAGTTTAGAAAATAGGTAGAATAGTTGATATTGTTACCAAAATGGGTGTGGCATACAATTTTAAGGAATGATATTACAAAATTCCGAGGTCTTCTTGAAATATGTGCTCTTAGAATCCATATGATTTGATTTCAAATTTCTAAACAAAATTGTATTTCAGATAGGATCTATATTTAGTTTAGTTTTGTTCTGTCTTCTTTCCCTCTTTCTCTTTTTCCCCTCTTTATCAACTTCTCTATTAGAATCTGTTACACTGAAATCTCCCTGGTAGGCACCCAAGGCAGGAAGGGCTATCTGACCTCATTTGCATGGGAGGTGACACTGTTCTCTCTACTCCAGGTAAAACCAGCTGGGAACTTCCCAGCTTGACCCTAATGTAAAATTCACAAGTGCTTATGTTGCAAGTTCCGCAAGAGAAATAAAATGTGAATCTTTGTCCCCTTCAGACCAGTAATTAGTAGAGGAACTCAATTTATAACTTCAGGGGGTTCCATGTAACTGTCAGCTTGCAGCAGGAAGCATTTCTGTTCCTCTCTTTCACTCACAATTGAACCATGCAGGCTTTCATCTGGTAGAAAAGAGCTTTGTTCACTGTTACTATTACTTGTTAAGCTCCTTATGGTGTATATAATTGAATGATTTGACTAACCCCAGCACACTCCTTTGTATGTATCTAGGGGAGTTACCACAGCCCATGGCAGTTTATAAAATTTCTTTTAAAGTTCTACTTATTTTATATATCTATAGATATTTAGATCTATATATTAATGGATTTATGAGTATGTTTTCTAAATACTCCTTACATAAAATTCCTAAGCACAGAAGCATTTTGACAAATCCTTAGTTTCCATTGTATATAATGATTAAATAAGTTCTATGGAAACCAACTCAGTCTTTCTTAATGGTGCTTGTAGATGTATCCTGGATGCCAGCTGCATCTGCCTTGAGCCCTTCAGATCTACCTAGGATGGTTTCCAAGACCTATTCTACCCTCTCTCCCTTCTATCTTTCCTTCCATTCTTCTTTTCTTCTTTTCCCTCCCTCCTTTCTTCCTTCCCTCATTTATTTAATAAGCACTATTGAGTGCCCCCCCCGTGGGTACTTTTCTATGTGATGGGGATACAGCAGTAAATAAAAAAGGCAAAAATCCCTTTCCTTCTGGGGCTTATGTTCTGTTAAGTAGAGACAAGCATTAAAGCAATTATTAACACATGTAGTATATCAAATGGAGATAAGTGCCATTACAAATAAAGCTAGAATGGAGGTATAAGTAGTGTGGGGGGCAGGTGAGGCATGGGAAGGGAGCTGAAATTTTAAAATGAGTGAATACAGAAGGATTCATTGGGAAGCGAACTTTTGAGCAAAGAACCTAAGGGAGTGAAGGAGCAAGCCAAATGGATATTATGGGACAAGGATATGGGCATATAGGCAGAGGGAACAAAGTGCCCAGACTTGGAGATGGGAGCTTGTTGCTCTATTTGAGGGACACAAAAAGGCAAGTAGGCAAGTATGACTAGAACAGAGTGAGTAAGTGAGTGAGAAGGGAGATGAGGTCAAGGAAGGAGTAATGGGTGGGTAGCAGATCATATAGAGCCAGTAGGCCATGGTAAGGACTCTGGCATTTTCTTTTTTCTTTTCTTTCTTTTTTTTTCTGGGTAGATGGAAATCTATTGGTCAGTTTTGAATATAGCCTTCCCAACAATACTAGCTCCCAATGTCAGTAGTGCTGAGGTTGAGAGACCCTGATGAGGGGAAAGGGCAGAGCATGAAAAACAGATAAGAGGCCCCAGCAAAATTCAGGCAAAATATGATGGTTGCTTAGATTAAGATGTTAACAGTGAGGTAGTTGGAAGTGGTCCAATTCTTGATATATATTGAAAACAGAGACAAAAATATTTGCCGATGAACAGAACGTGAGATGTGAGGGAGAGAGACCAAGGACAGCTCCAAGGGTTTTTGTTTTTTGTTGCTTTTTTTGGCTTGAGAATGAGAAGGATGGAATTACCTTTTACTGAGACAGAATGATTGTGGAAGGAGATGATTTTTGAGACTGATGTGTCTGTTAAACATTTAAGTAGCACCTTGATGTCTGAAAGGAATTCAACTAGACAGTTGAATTTATAGATACGGAGTTTGGGTGAGTAATCTGGCTAGAGATATCCATTTGCCAGCATATGATGATATAGATGGGCTCTCCAGGGCTGTGAGAGCAGATAGAAAGGAGAATAGGAACAAGGAGAGACTGATCCAGTGTTTAGATGTTAAGGACATTAAGAGCCAGTAAAGGCTACGGAGAAGGAGCACCTGGTTGAGACACTAAGAAAACAGGTATCTACAGTTTCTGGGTGTCTAGTGATAGATGAGCAGATGGTAAATTGTGGAAAGTCAAGTTGGATGGAGACTGAGAATTGACCATTTACTGGTCCTAGCCATGTGAATGTCAGAGTGACCTTGACAAGAGCAGTTTCAGGGCAAAGGTCTGTGAGTGTGTTCAGGAACAAATGGAGGTGAGGCTGGGAGGGGAAACTGACTAGAGTCAGTGAGTTTAGACCATAGATTGGCACTTCTGAAAATTCCCCATGGGGACTATTCTTCTGGGAATAGAGGGGAAGGGAGAAATATTTGTATTCATTCTATCTAGTACTGCTCACTTCTGGATAAGAGCTGTTTCTTTGAACTGGTAGCTGGCAGATCTGTTCTTGTCCCAAACCATGTCAAGGGAGACATGGAACTTGCCTTTCTTTGATTTGCATTAGAAAACCAAAAATCAGAACAAGTAAGAAAACTCTCCATCCATTAACCTGATACTACTGAAGCTTGGGAGGTGCATGCGTGAATGCCAGGGTGTTACATTGCAAAAACCAAAATGAAACCAAGCAAACTCATAAAATATTGGATCTTCCTTTCCTTAAAAGTCACTTTGCTGACTTGCACAATTCACAGCGCTTACCAGAGCACATACCCTCCCCAGTGTCTATCACCCAGTCACCCCATCCCTCCCACCCCACCCCCCACTCCAGCAACCCTCAGTTTGTTTCCTGCAATTAAGAATTCCTCGTATCAGTGAGATCATATGATACATGTCTTTCTCTGTTTGACTTATCTGTACCTCTGAAACAAATAATGCAATATATGTTAAGAAAAAAAAAAAAAGAAGAAGAAGAAGGTAGCAGGAGGGGAAGAATGAAGCGGGGGAAATCGGAGGGGTAGACGAACCATGAGAGACGATGGACTCTGAAAAACAAACTGAGGGTTCTAGGGGGGGAGGGGTGGGAGGATGGGTTAGCCTGATGGTGGGTATTGAGGAGGGCACATTCTACATGGAGCACTGGGTGTTATGCACAAACAATGAATCATGGAACACTTCATCTAAAACTAATGATGTAATGTATGGGGATTAACATAAGAATAAAAAAAATAGAAAAAAAAGTCACTTTGCTGTTCTGTCATAAATTCTGCAATAGCTTCTCTCTCACCAAGTTCTTTTTCATTTCCAATGCTGAATTGTTTAACTTCCTCTACTGTGGCATCATCTCATGCTAGCTCATCTCTTAAGGATTTGAGTTTCCACTCCAAGTAGTTTATCAAAATGGTTCCCTAAGAGGAATTCTGATGCTTGCTGTTAGGACAATAATCTATTCTCCTTGTTGCACAAAGATATTCCTTTAACATTTTAAGCCAAAATAGGCAGCCAGTGTACACTGTATGAG